ATTAAGCAGTACAACTGTTTTCAACACATAATAATAAGAAATGGAGGATCACGTGACACTGAAATATCAACTAATGGCTAATAAAAATTCAATTATTTTAAACTATAGGCCTAATAATATTTAATTTTTGATCAATTAAACAGTGACAGGATGTATGTAAACTATTTTGATCAAATAAATGGAGCCTTGGTGAATAGACTTCTTTTAAAAACATTAAAAAAAAAAATCTTACCAACCCCAAACGTTTGAACAGTGTATTATAAAAATGATTATTTCATAAAGAAAATAGAATAAGAATTGACATATTTGTATTCATGCTGGGTATTCATGCACCTCAAAATTAGCTAAATACTATAGTTTGGTTTATTAAATTAAGTTAATATAATAGTTTTCACTACTACTGATTGAATATCAGTTCACCATAGGCTATTATTCAGTTCACAAAATGATGACACTGTTGTATGAATGTAATGGTTTAATACAGATACAGTGAAGAAGGTTAAGACCTCTGAGGTGTGAGAGGGCAAATTTCGATTTTGAGGATACAGATATTTGATGGTTTTAAAATTACCAATGTGTACCTATATTTGTGGGAAGTGCCACCAGTCTGATTCCTCATTTACGCTGAAAGAGCAGCCTGTCTTCCTTTAAGTGAGGCAGACCGAGACTCTACATTCCATTACACCCACGTGAATGACTGGCCCCGAGTGCCGTCTACCTTCAGCCCAGACTACTGCTGAAAAACATCTGACTTTTACTCAAGCTTTCTGTCCAACCATCCTGCCTCACTGATTCTCTGTTGTTTGTGTTCAACCACCTTTGTTTCATCATGTTTTATTTCTTCTTCTTGGAATAAAAGACAAGGGGGGGATGAATGTATGTCAGGGGTAGGATGCCATTCTATAATAAATTCTTTATGAAAGCATATCATTTCTATTATGATTGTCTCAACTGTCATCGTCGATCATCTTGTCAGCGAATAATAATGTATATGTTGGATGTCTTTTTGTCTGATCTTGTGTGACAGTCTGATGAGGAGGAATTAAACTTTAGGTTGTTACAATGCCTGTGGTTGCACAGTAAGATATAGCATTATACTGCTGTTTGGAAATTTCCAGCCTGTCTGTAAAAATAGTTTTCTCTGACATGAGAATGGTACAGCCTAAATGTAGGGAGAAATCCCAATATAATTACACTCTTTAAAACAACATCATTATAAGCTATGGTTCAGCGCTTCCCTTTATAGGGATTTAAAAAAATGAAGGTGGGTTCTGACCGGTTTTAACTTGCGGTCTCACCCTCTTTCACTTTCTTTCAGTTACACACAATAAGTGATCCAGACAGCGTCTGTGGATGAAATGGTTACAGCTTTCCTCAATGAAAGGCAAGCCACTAATGAGAAGATGGCTTTAGTAAGCAATGCACTGGCTGCTTACTCCTTCATAGCAGGTAAAAACAGCTTTGGTACGCTACTATTACACTAACAGCCCCAAAACTACACCCTTTACTAAAGCTGGGCAATTAATTGAATTTTATTTTCAAGCACAATTTTGTCTTCCAACAGTTATGCACAAAAGATAATCTTGTGAATTATCGTAAGATAACTGTGCCACATTCCTTTTTGCTATAATGGTCCCGTTTTGTCTTGTGTTATGTATCCACTCCACTTTTTTCCTTTATATTGGCACACATTTTTTTTCCTTCTTTGCTTTATATGGCAAAAAATATTTTTAGATATATTTGTATAGATTTTTTTATTATATTTAAAGTACAAGAAAATCAACTGTTAAGAAGGAAAAATAAGTTCAATTACACTCTAAAAAATACTGGGTTAAATACAACCCAGTGCTGGGTAAAACAGGGACAAAGTTGTATTTAACCCAGCATTTTTTAGAGTGTACTGTCTGAAATCGATTTCAGTGAATAATGGTGTTAAATAATCATAATCTCAATATTAAAGGGGTCATATGATGCTTTTTTAAAGATCATTATTTTGTGTATTTGGTGTAACAGAATATGTTGACATGACCTGAACGGTTTCTGCAGATCACCCGGAACGGGCGGCACTGTATTTTGTGTGTGGAGTGTGTTTGGGACTGGTTCTCACTCTCATCGCGTTAGTGGTGCAGATCTCCTGTCGAACCGACTGCAAAACGCAACAAGCGCCCAAGAAAACAGGAAAGACTTTGGAGAGCACCAGTGACACGAGCGACAGCGATTCGGACTGGGACAATACCTCCGACCTGTCGGCACGCCGCCACCGGCGCTTCGAACGGACGCTCGGTAACGTGTTTACCTCTGCCGAAGAGCTGGAGCGTGCGCAGCGACTGGAGGAACGCGAGCGGATTATACGGGAGATCTGGATGAACGGACAGCCGGACATGCCGGGCACGCGCAGCCTGAACCGCTACTATTGAAGTCTCTGAAGCAATGAGACTGGAAGTTTTGAGGAAATATTCAACTATACAATTTTGGGATACAGTAAGGGACTGAAATATGAGAAAAGCAAACACTTACGAAACGTTTCGGATCATCTCTTCTGGTGGCACTGGCACTACTGGTCAAGAATTCGTGTTTTTGAAGGTGCACTCGGTATATTTTTTTGTTTATGTTTCGCCGATAGTCGTGTTATACTTATACTAACACCTATACTGACACCTGGTGGCGTGGATGAAAAAGCAACGTTTTTGGTTAGGGGGTAAATTTGGACACTTTTTGCCATTGAGATGTCCTAGTTAAAAATATCCTAATTAACCTGAATTTACTGATGACACTTTAGAAATGCGATTTTACTCACGAGTGTGTAAGCAACTTTAACAAATCTACACTCTGTTTTGATCAATGTAAAATACATCAGTGCTTAAGTTACTGATTTGACTTAACAACTCTTGACTTCATGATTTAAATTTTTTTTTCAAGTGCTATTCATTTCTTTATGTGTAAAAACATTTGAATGAGGTAAAATTACTGAGTGCACCTTTAATGAAAACTTGTTTTAATGAAGAATTCACCATGAAATCTAAAACAGGTGGAAGAAAAATAATATGCTTGAATTGAAATACTGTATTTCTAATTAGAATTAATTTTGTCTGAAATTACGTTTGGTCACGTGGACATTGGACAATTCAGACACCTAATTTTATTGAGATCTTATTCTTTAGTTGGCTAATCTCTTTTTATTTAAGCAAAATGTCTTTCTGTTACAAACATTTTTATTATACTAAAGCTTTGTCTTTGAGCTCAGGGTTTTCAAGACCTCCGTAAAGGATTTTTACTAATTTGTCAACCAACAAAACAAAATGATGGTCTGTGCCTTCATTTTAGAAAAAAAAAGTCACTGTAAAAATGAAAAGATACTCGAGGTGGAAAACCTATTCACACCTTTTCTAAAAGATCAGTTCTAGAGGATTCTGCCAGTATGTCGATCAGAGTATCTTTTTAAAATTTTTTACAGTGTATGCCTTCTTCAAGCAAGTAGTAATTATGCATGGAAGACAATCACCTCTGTTTGCACTAGATTTTTCACAGGATAGTATGAATTTTCTACAGGTACAATCCATCCATGCATGAGCAGTTCAGTCCAACTTTATGGTCCAGAAATGTCAGATATATCAAATATGTTTCTGTCCTTATTTCACTCTTTGGTGTTCAACAAATGCAGCATTTTAATAATGTAACAAAGAAGCTCAAATGCTTCCACAGTGTTTCAGCAATATTTTCATATGCATTTATTAGAAAATGAATATGTGAGGAATTTGCATCTGGTTGTCTTTTAACATAGTTGTTTTGAATGTGTATGAAGTAATGTGCCAAAAAGTTTGTCTGTGGATAAAGTCACTACATCTTTCGATAAAATAAAAACCAAAGATTTTAAAACCTTTTGTTTATGCCAAGTCTCCTGTAATTCTGAATTTCTCTTTGCACAAACCCTAACTGAATGTATTAGTGCCCTCTGCTGATGAACAGCTATTGAAACAGAATCATAAACAATTCAAAGATGTTTATTCCCATCTTAGAACATGCAGACAATTAGATGGGCAGTATAAAGAGAAAGAACAGGTACCTAAATAATATTTTATAATCTTAACTGTTTAGATTACTACGACATGTATAAATTAGCATTGAATGGTACAAGACCATGTTTTATATTAGTACAAATGAAAAAAAGTGTTTGAAGATTTCTGAAAAGTGTAAAAATGTAGAATGTTTAGTAGTTTCAACATTTTTAAACTTATTTAATTATTTTGACAAATATAACAATTGTTATAAAATATTATGCTCCCATATATATATATATATATATATATATATTTGATAAAATACAGATCAAATTAGACAAAATATAAAAAGACAAAAAGAGCAGCAAATAAAATGTCAATGTAAATTATAGTAAACACACATAGTAAATGTAAACCGATTTTAATTCACTGAGCTTATAATTAATGGTGCCAAACTGCAGATACAGATACATTTACATTTACATTTAGTCATTTAGCAGACACTTTTATCCAAAGCGACTTACAATTGGGGGATACATAAAGCGATTCTTCTTAAAGAGGCAAACAGACACAGGAAGTGGTTGTAATACCAAGTTCTTAGACATTGTTCAAATAAGTACAAGCTAGAAAGAGAAGGAATAAATAAAGAGAGAGAGTTTTTTTTTTATTTTTTATTTTTTTTTTTTTATGATGAAGTCAAGTAGCTTCGAAAGAGATGGGTTTTCAGCTGTCGCTTGAAAATTGTCAGGGATTCAGCATTCCGGATAGGGGTGGGAAGATCGTTCCACCAGCCAGGAGTGGTGAACGAGAATGTTCTGGAAAGTGATTTTGAGCCTCTCTGTGATGGTACCACGAGGCGTCGCTCACTAGCGGATCTCAGACTTCTGAAGGGGATGTAGATTCGTAGTAGTGAGTGGAAGTAGGCGGGTGCTGAGTCTGTGGCTGTTCTATATGCAAGCATCAATGTCTTGAACTTGATTCGAGCCGCAACCGGTAGCCAGTGCAAGGAGATAAAGAGAGGTGTAACATGGGCTCTTTTGGGCTCGTTGAAGACCAGTCGTACCGTAGATAACTGCCAGTTTATAGTGGTTATAATATGTGCTAATAATAAATCAGTTTCTGCAGGTTTTATGAAGGTAAATGTAAGACTTTTTTTAAGACCAAGTAAAGAAAATATAATTGTTGTAATGAGTTGTATTAGCAACACTTCAAAATGTAAAAATTCAACTTCCAACTTATCTCAATTACTTTTTAATTAATTTTCTAAAAAATTAAAATAAAATAACAGCCTTAAGGCTTGAATAGCTCTGCTCTCAACCACTATGCAAAAAAGTGATGTTCTTCCTCAGTATTTTTGTCTGGCAAATCAAAACACATATACTTCAGAAGCAAAATTACATAATATCCTGTTCATTTGATCAAAATGAAGTGACTTTGTGATTAAAACAAGAACAGATATCTGCAAATGGGCTTAATTAAAAGGTAAACAAGTTTTGACTCCCCACTGAGAGATATTTGTTCTTGCTTTAAGCATAAACAGTTAATTTTGTTAAATTTTTCAACACTTCATTTTACATTTGCATCTCAAGTATATGCATCTTGATTGATTTAAGGATGTTTAGACATTTGTACTGGAAAACAAAAATACTGAGGAAGACAACATTTATTTCCGTAACTTTATGAATTTAAGATTTCTGCTCTGATTTAAGACCTTTTTAAAGCCTTAAAGGGGGTAAATTAAAAATCTTTTAAGACCTGCAGAAACCTAGTAAAATGAAAATATTCACCAGCTTTATCCCAAATAAAACCTTGTATTAAAATGTACCTGTCTTCTCGCCACTCCTAATCGAGGACTTGTACTCTGCATTGTTTTGAGGTCTGGTATTGGAGTTGAGGTTTAACATGGGTTCCTGTTTAACAGCTGTTTGGCAGTCAGGTGCAGCGCAGCGCCATTCATAATGGGACTGATTACAGCCATATTCTCTTTATCTAACATAGAATTGCTGACACTATAAGAGGAGTGGGGTTCTGCACTGAAGTAAACAATGCTACTGCAGTCCGCAGGGCAGGTGCACCCTTCTCTGGAGACTGCTGTCTCACTTCAGCAACAGCAAATCCCTCACGGTTTTCAACTGGACTACATTTAGATTGTTTATCTGCTTCCATGATTGGCTGGTTACAGTCCTTCCCTCTAGAGTCTGTGTCGGCTTCATCATCATTCTCCAGGATGACTGAAAGTCCTGTCTCCATACAGGCAGTTTATCTTGTATTTGTTTCCAGTTTTGAGAGCAAGGTGTATTAACACGTGATGATGGTGCCAGTCACCCTCTAGAGGCTGAACAGAAGAGCCTCCTGCATGCTTATCAGGAGCAAAACCAGTCACTGAGAAAGTGCCATGATAGTGTGTGGAGGATTCAAGTGTTGTGTGACCTTGCAGTCCACATCGGTTGTTCTGTCAATAGTTGTCAGGCTCATTTGGAGTCTCAGACTCTGGAGGATCTCTGTAGATTTTGGATGAAAAATCGGTAGTAAAGAACAACAAAAATGACACCTAAAAAATACAGAACAGAGCAAACTATATTTGTAATGTTACATTACACTGCACCAGGTTTTTATGATTGTTATTTTTTATTAGAAAAAAAAGGGGGTTCTAGGAATGCATGATATATACAGTAATGGCCAAAAGTTTTGACAGTGACATAAATTTTGTGTTTTGCAAAGTTTGCTGCTTCAGTATTTGTAGATTATTTATCCACATGTTTCTATGGTATACTGAAAAACAATGATAAGTATATCATATGTTTTAAAGGCTTTTATTGGCAAAAAAATATGAGTCAATAATTACAGTGTTGACCCTTGATGTTCATAACCTCTGCAATTTGCTCTGGCATGCTGGATATTAGCTTCTGGGCCAAATCCTGACTGATGGCGATCCATTCTTGCCTTATTAGTTCTCAGAGTTGATCACAATTCGTGGGCTTCTGCTTGTCCACTCGCCTTTTGAGGACTGACCACAGGTTCTCTATGGGATTGAGATCCGGGGAGTTGCCTGGCCACGGATCCAAAATTTCAATGTAATGATCTTCAAAGCCACTTCTTTATCACTCTTGCTTTGTGACATGGTGCTCCATCATGCTGGAAAATGCACGGATCATCACCAAATTGCTCATGGATCGTTGGAAGAAGTCACTCTTGCAGGACGTTTTGATACCATTCTTTATTCATGGCAGTGTTTTTGGTGACACGATTCCGTAGCTGACTCCTCAGGAGGAGACGGTCCTGGCGCTTGCTGGACAAGACTTCTTCACTGCAGTCGAGCCTCTCTCCTTGAAGTTCTTGATGATCCGGTAAATGGGTCATTCAGGTGAAATATTCTTTGTAGCAATTTCCTTGCATGTGAGGCCATTTTGATGCAAAGCAATGATGGCTGCACGTGTTTCTTTGGAGGTAACCATTACTAACAAGAACACAATGATTGGAAGCCCTTCTTCCCTCCTTTTATAGCAATCAGTCTGCTCTTACAATCTAATTAGTTTGATAATGATTTTACCTGACTAGTACTCATTCACACTTTCAGATGTGCTGCTGATATGATT